AACTGCAACATCTCTGCTTTGATTTTCTGGAGGAATCGAGACTGGTGGTAATTTTTTGGCGGAATTATTCGCTTCGGGCGACGGACACTTCTAAAATAGGTTTCCGGCCTTGTCTTTCTTTTAGCAGTTGAACACCAACATAGCGCTAACTCGCCGAAAACGCTTCAAAATGGCCTGAGACGCTAGGAATCAACAAAGAAAACAACAAGGCAATAAGGTAAGTCCATTTTATTTCAAAACAAGACATTTTTTTCTCTCTTTTAAGGCAAACCGATAACATCCCATACAAACCTTTATAAATATAAAACGTTGCGCAACACGGTAAGAGTCACGTCCGCTTTTCTAGTAGTGGGTTTCGGCTGCCTGTGTGATAAGCACCTTTGACGGTGACATTCTACTCTTGCTGTTTATTTCTCATTTTGAATTGTACTTCAGACAGTGTTTAATGAACAGTTTAAGAAATGGAAAGCATGGGAAGTATTATGTAACTTTTCAAAAAAGAGAACCATTCCTCTGCGCCTAATTAAAAACCAGAAAACTTTAATTTAATTTTCTGGGTCATTGCGCTTAACCTTTCGTACGCAAACAAGTGCTTGTGTGCTTCCCTCAAAGGAATGTGTAAATAATACAAAAAATCTTTTGACTTTTTGTACGTAAATGACAAAAAAGAGTCCAGTACGCACTGAGTTTTTCTTTTGCTTGCCATGGCAACTCTGTATAATACATTTGCATTAAACGTACTCTGGGATGCCATATGGAAGAGTTATGTAATAGGTAATCAGGCACTTAAAGAACTCGATTCACGCGCAGCGCCTTTCTTCTCAAAGTACATTTTATTTTCATGATCTGGTGGCAAATAATTGATAAATAAGCACGGAAAAAGGTTTTAAACTTACAAGGAAGAGTAAATATTTAGTTGAGGTTGACAGTTTTTTTCTTGACAACTTTTTTTTTTTGATTTCGTACTTGAGGTAGCCGGGTACTCTGTTTCGAGTAGACGGGTGCCGGTACCCGGGGCCTGGCTTCCAATAAAAACCCTGGGATTTTCCTTGAATTGCAAAATTGAATAACTTTTTTGCAGTTGTGGTATTCCAATGAGATGATAGTTGTTATGTGTAATTGTACTATACTGTGGCATTGTCATCCTTGAGGATAACTCCCATCCCCACTTGCCTTTCTTTGTTCTGGGGTTTTGACCTGGTTACATATATTTATTCAGTTATTTATTCACTTGTTTCTTTATTTTTCTTCCATTAAGTAATTGGGCTGTGGTGTGAAGGGTGCTTGTTGGGGACTTGGCATGGAGGGCATGTGGCAGGGTTGGGGTTGGGCAGGCCAGTTCTGTGTTCTAGTACCTTGGGTGCAACTGCAGTTGCAGCACCCAGGTTCCTGGGACACCTAACCTCTACTGGTGACTAGGCGTTAATGTAGATGCACAACAATATCACTTAGGCTTGTTTTCAACTTGCTATTTCACGCTAAATACCTCACTTTCTTCAAGATCAGAATGCAAAAATTCTTTCAATTCTGTGATTCTACCAAAAATAGTTTTATTGTAAAGATAATTTGTTGATAAATTGTAATCACTTGATCAAGAAAAAGGAGTCACTAAAATACGATTTGTGAGCCTGGGCCAATTTTTGAAGGGGTATCATTCTCTGGATTGTATCACACCTGGACCAAAACATCCATTCCAAAGTGTGAAAAACCTGATCTACAAACCTTATTTCAATTTCCACTAATTTCTACCAAAAGTTGAAAAGGTAATAAAATTGGTTCAATTCAAATTCCACATACACATAGTTTTACCAAAATACGTCAAAACCATATATGACAACTTGTACTTTTGTGTGAGTAAATGTGAAAAAACTAACTTAAGCATGTCATATCAGTTATATCAAACTGACCTTCTCAGCATTGTTTTCTTCATAATTGTTAAAGGTCACACCATCCAAAGATGAATAAATCTTGTACTTGGTTGTCCGCTCGTCAATACCATTGGCCCCTTGAGTAGCTACAGCACAAATAACATAGTCATACAGCAGATCAATTTGTAGGTAGTCTTTAAGATTTGAGTTATCCTTAGGTGCCCACCCACGGTGATTTCCATTCAGACGGCCAAACCAAGGTCTATACCGATAATCATAATGTGTTAAGGCCGAGAAGCTGCCATCTGGAATTGCATCCCTGCTAGCCACACCAATGGCTGGACTTTGACATTCTGTTAAAAGACAATTGTAATTACCATAACCTGTGGTTTTCTCCCCAGAAAATCAGTTTATCATACATGCATGTAGTAACAATCAAAAGTGTGCTGCACCATTGAAACACCTCAGGTGATTTTACTGGTGATGTAAGGTATGTGTGTAAAGAACTGTTGTTAATGAATGCAAATTCAAGGCTGGAAAAAAAAAACTTTTTTACCATCATGTCATCGTTTAGTCTTTTAATTAATTGGAGGAAAGGTGCCATTGGAAACTTCCAGTTGCTAGCATCACACAAAATTATACACTCAGGTATGTATCTCTTCTGGGTTTTATTGTAGCTGCTAAAGGATTCAAACAAATTCCCAGTTCAGAAACATATATCACTCTCAGCCATTAAAATATTTATTTGTGGGCTCCCATCAGCTAGTACTACACAACAACTCTTCGTGTTTCTTCACTATTGATTAACTGATTGATGAAGTCTCAAGATGGGCCACATTTTTGATGTGTTGTTCAAACAGATGATGAATTACACTGTAAATGTAATGGACTCTTCAGCACTTGGTTAATTCATGCTGTAGTGTGGGACTACTGTGCAGGAAGTAGAGGGTTCAAGCTTCAGACTGGACCAACATTTAGGGTCTTAAAATAACTGAGGATAATATGCTGCCCTGTTATGACAATTGTAAATTGTTAGACCCTACAGTCTTCCTGGAAAAAGACCATAAACTAGAGGTCCCATTTCCTTCATCCCCCGTACTAAATGGCAGGGGATGCTAAGGAACCCATGCACCTCAAGCAAAGAGTAGAGAATGTAGCTCGATCTTGCTGTTGTAATCTGGCCTTGTCATTTCTTACACAGGCCCCCATTAAAACTAGCTTTTAACCTGAACTGGACTAACTTGGCTAAATTATTGCAAATAAATTCATACAGTGGCAGCTGTATCAAGTAGTACTTAATAAGTAGTAATAGAAATGATGATGGTGATGGTGATGATAGCAATGAAAATAGAGAGATTGCAATGTACATGTGCACCTGTTTTCTAGTCAGATTATGCAACAAGAAAAATCACAGGGAGATTGCACAAGTTTTATTATTATTATTATTATTATTACAATATTACAAAAAACATGCACTGCTTGCAGTTAGCAAAGGCTAGTCGAGGTGGGCAGTGTTTAATATGTATAATTTATTCTAAAATAAAAAGATTTACAGAGCAAGAGATTCAAAATTCCTGACAAATTACAACTACATTAATACATTTAAGATACTGCAAGAGGACAGAACAAGCTGAGGTCTTTTAGTTGTGCTATTAAAGTAGACAAATCAATATAATCATCATATTTTTCGAGTCTCTATTGGAGGAAATCATGAATTTTACTCTTAAAATTGTATTTTGATAGCTGGCGCAAGTCACAAGACAAGCTATTCCAGATTCTAACACCATTTCTTGAAAATGCCCTAGCTTTTTTCTATATCTAATCTTGAACTTTCAACAAAATAGTCACCTCTTGAAGATGATCTTGTCTTATGGGGATGAATATTAGCTTGATAAGTGAATAAGTTAGATATGTTAGAAGGTGACAAATTATTGGATATGTCATGCATCACGATGGCAACTGATTTAAAGTAAAGCATATCCAAAGGAAGAAAACGAGAAGAAAAAAAATGGGATTGCATAAGATCTGCAGTCACCAAAGTACATTAAGCGAAGAGCTCGTTTTTGAAGGATTAGAATTTTATCTCTATGAATTTTTGCAGCTTGACCCCACACAACTATACCATACAACAAATAGGGTTGGATGAGTGACATGTAAATGTGGTTTAGAGTACTAAGGGGTACAAAGTGTCTTAATCTAGAGATAATGCCGATTTATTTACTTATTTTGGATGCAATATCAGCAATATGGTGACCCCATGAAAGAGTTTCATCAATAAGCACTTTTAAGTATTCAATAAATTCCTTACGTTCTAGAGAAATATAACTGTTAGTACGATGGTCAAAGATTCTCAAATTTATTTGGTGATTCAACTTTTTCTGTCTAGGCCAAAAAATAACAAAGTTAGATTTTTTTATATCCAGTGATAACTTGTTAGTGATTAACCAATCGTAGATGTTACAGAGTTCAGCATTAACTATAATGGTTTCGAGTAACTTAAGATTTTTATCAGTATATAAGAGATTAGTATCATCTGCGAATAAGTAAAATTTAAATCGATTAGAGCTATTAGATATATCATTTATATAAATGAGGAAAAGTAGGGGTCCTAACACCAACCCCTGTGGAACTCCTGATAATATTACTTCCTCCTTGGATATATTTTTAACACCAATTTGTGTTGTTTGTTGTCGACCTACTAGGTAAGAAGCAATCCACTTGTTCACTATTCCAGGTATTCCGTAATGATTCAGCTGTTGCAATAATATTGAATGGTTGACCGTGTCGAGGTAAATGACACAACTTATGGTTTTTTTTTTCTTTTTTTTTTTAAGCAAATTGAACCTCTAGGCTTGCTGAAGGAAAGCAAAAACATTAGTTATCATGGAGACAAACAAATGAATTATGAAAATTTGTGCCCATCATCTTGATCAAAACAAAAACAGAACAAAAGAATGAGAAAAGAAATTACCTACCTTAATATTACTGCACATGCAGCTAAAAATTCTATACCATTGCAGTTATTGTAACAGTGAGGTTGCACAATCAGATTTAAAAATTCTGCCATCATGCTTGTATAACAAAGATTGAATTTTTAAGGCCTAGAGCTTCTCAGCTATTATAAGTTTTAAAATTCTTGCAGACTGTATACACGGAAGGCAAATATGGCTTCCAATTTGAGTTGCCATTGTTCTGGACTCACTAGCCTCTCACAGATGTGATAATCCTTTTGTGTTTCCTTTGAAGAGGAGGCTAGTGAGTCCAGAACAATGGCAACTCAAACTGGACGCCATATTTGCATTCGCTGTAGAGGATATAAAATCTCAAAGAAAGTCGAGTTTGTAACATTGAATTTGCTATGCAAGCGAATCCTTTCAAAAATTATCGAAGAATACCAGTATATAATTTATTTTGTTCATACTGAGATTAACACTGAGAAGAACATGTACTATCATTCATGTCTCTGATAGGATGAATGATGTATTTTCACAATCATTTACTTCCAATCTTTGAAATGTGCCAGTCAGTAAGGAAAAACTCAGTATATTATATGAAATTAAAACATTACACCTAAGGAGAATGACTGAAAAATTTTTTATTCCCTCACTGCAATATATAAAAAACCTCACTTGTTCATTGCGCTTACTCATTAATTTTTTTTATGTATCTCAACTCATGAATTAAAAGTGTTCATGCATACTTCTCATTAAATAGTTTCGCTCCATATCTATACACATATGTATATAATAGTCTGTGTTGGTTATGTAAAATTTTCATGTCTGCACATATACCTGGCTTTTGCTCCACTCCAAACACCTCTGTTCTCATACACACCCTACCCCAGTGAGTTTGAGGTAGAAATTGCAGATATCTTGTTAACACTCCATAAACAACATGCTTCACAATTGAGTTTTTGTCATCGTTTCCCATGAAGAACTAAGATTTTAAAATATATATATATATATCATTAAAATAACATTTATTGTAGGTTTCAATACAATTAATTAGTGACCACAGTGGGTTAAGGGAAAACAAGATTGTTACAAAAGGCAGCTTAAGTTAATAGAACAAAAAATACTAATTTGTAGGCACAGTGTTCATGTATATTGTTATTATATTATTCTTTAATTGTCATTATATGAAAATAGATGTAAAATAAGTTGTATTTTTGTACTCAAATTATTATGACTCAGAAAACCCTGTACCTTAACTTGTCCACCTTCCTCGTAGTCTGTCCAGGTTGTCCCATCTGTGGATAATTGTAGTTTGTAAGTCTTCACCCATTGATCTGCTTGAGAATTCCCTTGTGTAGACACAGCACATATGATATGAAGTGTCTGTAGATCAATCTGTAGATATGGGTTAGTGTCAGTTGTTTCTGCACACCATGATGATCCTGATGTGTGGTTCAGTCGACCATTCTTAGCTGGTGTGCTGGCACTTTGTACAGAAGAAGCAGTTATGTTACCATCTGAAATTCTGTTATTTCCCAAACCAAGATCCAAATCGATACAAGCCCCTATAACAATACATTCATTAACAAAAATTAAAAGATAAAGCGCAAAACATCATTAAAGATTAAATCTAATTTCCCATGCAAGTTAAATGAACCACAGGCGGCCCAAGCTCTGTTTGAGAACCACACAAGGAACACAATTTGCATATCGATTTATAAGGATTTGTATGGGATTTTCTACAAGATATCCATAGAGATAGGTAAAGGTGAAAATATTAAATAAAAATGACTTACCTTATTCCATACGTGTGTTGCTTGCTCCTGGTGTCGTTATTTTACCGATTTCACTTGATTTAATCGGTTTTTTTTTTATTCCTGGTCTTCTCTTTAAGAAGAGTAAAACCAGGATTAAAAAAAACCGATTAAATCAGGTGAAATCGGTAAAATAACAACACCAGGAGCAAGCAACACACGTATGGAATAAGGCAAGTCATTTTTATTTAATATTTTCACTTTTAACTATCTCTTTGGCTATCTTGTAGAAAATCCCATACAAATCCTTATAAATCGATATGCAAATTGTGTTCCTTGTGTGGTGCTCTGAGAGAGCTTGGGCTACCTGTGAATGAACACCCATGGATAAACTTCGCTTTAAATTTTTGATCGCTAGAAAATCTGTTCGGTACCTGGCTTCCTTATTGTTGTCAATATACGTATGTTTAAGACGCATAGGTTCTGAATCTTCTAATCTGTGCTTTTTACAGTCCCCAGAGGTCAAGGACATTTGCCTTCAGCATTGACAAACACAACAACAACAATATCATACGACATTCCTCCCATCGGTTCCATTTCTTCAGTATGCGGCATTCAGCCCGAAAAAGTATTTAGTTATTCGCCTGGATACCTGGGCATATCACCATCGTTTAAATCATGAAAAACAAACCGAATAACTCGTTTTAAAATGAGATTACTCTATGTTGAATGTGGAATGCTCAGCAACCACCACACGAAACATGGGTTTTGGTGGGAAAACAATGTCGCTTACAAATCACGTGATCAATAAGAGTTGTTATTCGTATGATTTGGCAGGAAATTTTGTTTTCAAAGGCTAACAAAAGTACAAGTGGGAAGAGCGAGTACAGTTTGCAACCTTACGATATCATTTCTCACGTATGGTCTTTGGAACTGTTCCAATGTTGTTGTTTTTTTTTATTATTATTATTTTACCGATCGTTAATGAACCCTAAAGAGCAGCTTTACATAATAAAGTTATCGATTACATCATCAGTTGGACTAACAAATAGGAGATTGTGCCCTCAAATATTATTTTACCCTCAAACTGAAACCAGTGTACTGTCATACCATTTTCAATTATGAAATTTCACATTACAACGCAAATATTGATTATATTTTAAGGACATCGTTTTTGATATTTGTTTGACACTTACGACAAAGTATCACGTTCACCCCGCGAAACAATCATAACAAGTCTGATTACCAAAACTCTTGGTCTGGTATCAAAGTTAGTTTCAAATCATGCCTTGATACGGGATTTTTATATGAGGTGCTTACTAATTTCAGTTTCTCGGCGTTGAAACAAAGTTTATGAGTTAAGAGTAATTAAATGTTTAGAAACACGTTCTGATTGTTTATTTATAGTATTGACAAGTGCGGTGTCTCATAAATACACATCGAATATTTTTACACCTACTTATTCAGCGAGCTAAGTACATGCTTTTTTTAATTTTACTGTATTTTCTTTTGATGATGGTGTTATGTTTGAGTAAAATGATGAATATCTCTTCAGTCGAACGCTTGGTCATTCAGTTGTCCAGTTTGAACGTGTTTGGCTGCTCATTTGCTAAAAAACAATAACATGCTAAAACTCACGACATACCTATAGACACACTCTGTCTACTTTCAGTTTAATTTGTTCTTGAAGTTCACTTCCCTTTTGATTTGGCTTGTGCTGGTTTACTGATGGTTTACCTTCATTGTACCTTTAGCTCATTGCCTTCAGCGATGAACTTACTTATACGCCAAAATCGAAACTTGATAGGGTTTATTTTGAAATCAGTGCCAAATTTGCATAATGGTACAAACTTCTGAAGTTCAAGAAATTAGACTGCTCGTCAATTCAAGGAAAGGTTCGATACGGTGCGAAAACTGTTCGAAGTGAAAGTAATCGAAATTGTCGAAATTCTGTATTATCGCTTTTGAAGATGCCTTTCTTTGAGTTATACCCGAGTAGCTTGGAGACCGTCATACTTTTATCGACAACGAAGTGAGCTTGTTCAGTTTTCCGACAAAGGAGTGTTTCAAGTTACCGTTTCATAACTATCGTGAAATCAAAGTAGACAAGATTACGGTAATACAAAAACTGAAAAAAAAAAAAGCGATGGGGCGCTGCGACCTTAACAGGAAGTAACTCATGCTGTTTGAAAAATTGCAAACATGATTCTCCGAAACTCATTTTGTAAATTTCAAAAGACTTGTCAGATGTTTCAGCTTCAAAGAAAATGTGTAAATCAACTTAGATTTCGCGGTCGGACTCGACAGTTAGTTAATTGAAGGAAGAGAAATGAAATTTGGCTACTCCATCTCTTCGGAATCGCTGCCAAAAACAATTTGTGGTTTCGGTGTGAATGTTATGAGGATCTTCATTGTGACTATAGAACACAGTGTAACTCCTGATAATTCCATTTTCTTCTGCTGGCTTACGCCAAGTAAGCTTTATCTTTGGACCAGCTGGTTTATCGGGCATTATCTCAGATTCTAAAAGGTTTGAAGGAATGCTTGGTGCTAAAGAAGTAGTAAATGGAAGATGGAGGTTATTATTTAAACCACACTCGTAAAATTGATCTTTAGCAGAGAAAATATAAAAAGGAGATGAACTGATACACTTTTACATGTTCACTTAGACTGTAGAAGCCATCTAAACACTTGTGATGCATTCATTTGTTATACGCATGCTTTCCATGTCACCACTGACGTAACTCGATCAGATCATATAGAGCATTAAATTGAATGAAGTATATCTTAGGCAATCTGCATGAAAAGGGTGTACGTTCCAATCTTATTCAAATCAGCTAGATATATTTGAGACAATGTTGTCTCTAACAACCTAAACTGATCAGTTTTAGCCTCTTACCATCTTCCAGTGTCTGCTCAACCTTAACAAAACTTTTTGGTCCCTCATCAAGAGGACCAACAGCCAACACTTGGAACTCATATTTGGTATATTTATCAAGATTAGTGACATCTTTAGTTGATGTTGCTCCTCCACTAATAGACACCATATGTGAATTGTCCACTGACCCTTTCTGTCTGTAATACAACTTATATCCTGTTATTGTTCCATGTCTGGCATACTCTGGCAGTGATGTCCATGATGCTCTTATACTGGTAGATGAGATCGCAGTCACTGTGAAGTTACCTGGTACTTGTGATGGACCTGAATTGTTCAATAAAAATGATGAAACGGTTTTTTTACAGTTTCACATCGGCAAAGTTTAAAATGAATTCACTTAGTGCTTGGTGTACCCGTATGAGATGGTTGATATATAATGACGAAGTATCACTTTTTTGTACTCGATTTCACGTTAGACATCAAGTAAACCTCAGAGACAACATGTACCACTTACGAGTGTTAAGGTGTGCTTTAAAAAGCGACCAACTAGCGATCTGATTTCTTAAGATATGCTGCACGTGAATGAATAGTGACTTTCTCAGAAGAACAGGGGTTCCAGGAGCAAATAATGTTGTTCCACAACTACATGCAGGGTTCGTTATGTTAGAAAACCTGTTCCTTTGTTTATACTTTATAATAGTAATTGTCAAAAGGTGTAAAGATCAAATTTCTAGATTGTATAGACAGAACAGACGTGTATATTTCTTTAAATTAAATTTAGAAGTATATTTGATTCAAAGGTATAGTTAAAAAGAAAGTATTTGCTTAACGTATCACAGGCTATGAGGATGATTTAAAATCTTTAAGAAGGCGTATCACTAAATTATTGGTGGAATAATTCCCCCAGGCATAAAAAATTTTTGCTGTAGGTAAT